AGAGATTGCTGGAGGTAGAGCAAGCCCGCTCTAGCCTCGCATATCACTTCCTGTCGTCTGTTGTTTGTTGTGCCCTTGTTTGTACTCTTGGCACCGTGGAGTGCTGGGGGGGGCGACAGGGAGGATATGGCCTTGAGTTATGTGTACGCCGACTCAGGGTGTGTGGCAGCCCGCTGGCTGTGTGTCTTGTGAGCTTGTTTGTGTCTGTGTGTCGCTCGTGCGTGTCGTCATCATCTGTCCAGCGTCCACCCATACCGCGTTGGTGTCCAGTCCGAGCCTGGCTGTTCTTCACCTTTCTACCTACCTACCTACTCACGAATCTTGATTTTTCCAGCGATCGGATTTTTCCGCGCCTCGAAATTCGTAACAATCGCCTCGCCGCTCCACAATGCCTTTCTCCGTTGCCTCCAGCCGCGCGGCGCCATCGTCCTCGATCCAGTGCCGGCCTGTGACAAGCTTGGCAGCTCGCGGATCGACGATCGCCACGAGCTGCTGCCCGGCGACCGCCGCTCGCCTTCGACGACAGTCGTAACAATCGGCGGTGGGCGGCACCTCCTTGGCCCAGCACCGGTGTTATCACGTCTCAGCTGCTTCATTGCCATGTCCAGTTATGGCGGAGACGCGCTGATACCATTCCTGTGCACGCAGTTGGACCAGCACGGTCATTCATCGGGTGCGTGGCGCAATCAGTAACCAGCCTCCGGCGGGGCCCCCCGCTAACCCAGCTATCAACCGACAACGCCGGGCGGGGGGCGCACAAACAACACGAGAGTAATCCTGTTCAAGAAGAAATTTAACAAAAAGAACATAAGCATAACGCGCTACGCGGACCCTCAGGCTGCTGCAGCGAGAGCTGAGCGGGAGTACGGGGCGTTGGCCAGCAGGTCTCGGATGGCACCAAGCCGTGACTGAAGGCTGCCCTCGAGCGGCTCCAACTCCAGCATCTCTTCAGCTTCTTCGATCAGACGTAGGAGCGGCAGCTGCTCGTCCAGCTCAAGTGCCGCGCGGATGCCGTCCGCCTCCGTCAGGAGCCTGTGTAGCGCCGTCAAGATCTGGTCGCAGGCGTTAACCAATGGCGGGTGTAGCGGCGGCAGGTCAAGGAGCTCGTTCGCAGCCCTGAATGTAGCCATGACTGCGGGGCTAGGCCCCGCGGGGACGGGGATGCCAAGCACCATCTGGATGAGGCAGCTATTCGGCGCGAGACCGATCGGCCACTCCGGGAACTGGATTCTGGTGCGCACGGTGCGCGCCGGGGGGGCGGGTGGTGCCGGGGCGGGTGGTGCGCACGGCTCCGAGCGCGAGCAGCGCGTCGGCGCCGGCTCGGAGCATGGCTGCTCGAGCGGCCGGCGTGGAGTGTCGGCCCTGCGCGAGCGTGCGCGCTCCAGCAGAACGCCGACCAGCACGAGCGCCACTGCGTTGACGCAGGTGGCGATGTACAGCAGCACGCTGCTTTCCTCGGCCGCGACCGACTGCGCGACCGACAGCGCGACAGAGGACCCACCCAGCCCCATAACCCACGCTTCCAGCATGGGCGACGAAAAGCCGGTGGGGCCGGTGGGAGGTAGGACGAGATTCGTTTCGCGCTTCAAAAGCGGCTTCGCGCGCAGCGCAACTTTGGGTTTGCCACGAAAAGCTTATCCGGCTGGAAAGGGGGCTACTGGGGCGGCCAAATTCACACCTCGCGGGACTACTTATGTTTTCGTAAACGTAGTTGTGGCCCCCCGCTACGTCGCACGAGTGCAACCGGGTAGCGGGGGGCTAAAAGACCTGTTTGCGCTGTCTTCGATCTCAGCGGCTACATGCGCTGCTGCGCGTACCTGTGACGCACACATGCATGTTGATCACATCCATATACCTCACTAACATACAGCTGGCGAGCCTTGCATCCCTCGTCTGGCCATGCTGTGCATCATCTCACCGTATGCAGCCGTATACGCCCACGGTGCTCACAGGGTCGGGCGTCACGGTGCTCGTGGCAAGCATCTCCGTCGTTATGGCCCTGCGAACGCGCACCCCCGGGGCTAGGGCTCTCTAGCCCGTAACCCGATCCCGATCATCCGGCCCGCTGGGTGCGCTTCTTAGCTCCCCGGCCCTGGATGTGAGGCTGATAACTGCACTCCAAGTGCTCCAAGTGCTCCGTCACTCTTGTGACTTGTGGGCTTGGTGGTGTTGCCTCCGGTGCTACTGCTGGCTAGGGTGCCAATGGCGCGACGGGAGGCGGCCATTGGCGCCACTACAGCAACGATTGTTACGCCGTGGAAAAATCCGGAATTTTTGCCCCGAACCGCCCGACACGTGGCCGCATATGTGTATATACCACGTCCGTATGGGCTGCACAAGCCAAACCACGCTCATCACAGCTTGCCACAGTGTGGCCCGTGCCGGCGCCCTACTGGGCGCCCCCCGCATCTCTTCGACGGGAGCGGCGGGTCGGCGTGTTGAGTTGTTGAGCCCTCGCTCGCCGTGGCCGAGCAGGGGCTGGGTTCCAGGGCAGCGCCACGCCGCGCAAAACTTGCGCGACCAACTTGCGACCTCTGTCCCTCGTATTCACCCCAGATTTTGCCCTATCCCGGCTCATCAGGTACCGCGAGCGGCGAGCCGCGCCAAGTTTGCTCCATTTCCGACAAGTTCCATCCCGCCCGAACGGCGAACGCCGATCTTCGGCCGTCTGGAGGCCCAGGACGCAGCGGCGCAAAAGGCTGCGACTAGCAGCTCTCAGCTTTGCGGCTGGTGGCTGCAAGCCTCTGCAAGCGTCGCTCAATCGGCGGCTAAAGATGGTGATGTGGGCTCCACCGAAGTCGCGGCCGTCATGAGCTGTGCCGTCGGAGGCTGCATGCAACGCTGCACCGTGCTCCGGGTTCGAGCAGGTGCAGGCGAGTGGAGGGGCCCCTGGTAGAGGGTGACATGACTTGTCTTACGAGAGTGGGATTAGAGGGGGAGGTAAAATAAACATCTTCGGGAAGCACGGGGAAAGAAAAACACCTCGCGAATTTTAACCAAAGGCGGCGGGAATACCCCTGTTCTTCGCCGTACCCCATCTGGGTCTACGCCCCCGCGACCGCCACGCACCCCCGCTCCGCCTCCCACTCACCCGCTGCGTCTCGCTCACAGTCTCGAGACGATTCATGCTGTCCGCAATCATCCTCGCGCTCACTTTCTTCAAGGACGACGCGATGCTCGTGGGTGAGCGCCGCAAGATGCTCTTCGCGCCGGAGCCCCACGTTTGCGTGCAGGACTACTGTGGCTGCGAATGCGCCAGCACGATCGTCGGCGTGTCGGGATGCTCCAGCCAAGTCAGCGTGTAGCGGCTCTAGTCTTTGCTCTCTCCAGGGAGGGTGTCGGGCTGCGTCGGCCTCTCGGCGCTCGTCAAAAGCGCGCTGAGTGTGCACCTTGCGTTGCGCGCAGGAGAATATCAACGCCTTCATCGTCGAATTTGTCGCGGCGCAGGGGGCCCCGGTGACCTCGATTGAAGAAGCCTGCCCCTTCCTCCTCGGGTCCGCGCACCTGCCCTGCCCTCTTGCCACACACAACTTGTGCGTTGAGTCTTGATCTGTCCTGTTGCCTCTCCGCCCTGCCCCGTTGCCTCACAACCTTGTGCGTTGAGACCTGACCTCTGTCCTCTTGCCTCTCCGCCACAGCCAGCTCGAGGGCGACTGCGCCAACGGCGAGGTCTTCATCACAAGCCACCCTGAGAGCTACGCAGCTGCGTCAACCTGCACCGGGGACCCCTTCTAGCCGGGGAGCGGCGAGGCGGCCTGAGGGCTACACGCCAGGCCTCTTAGTCAGAGCGCGCTCTTAGCACCGCGCGACGGCGGCCTTTCGCCACCCTCGCGCTTAGTCGTGGCCTGGCACCAAATAGGGTTTTTTGTGGAGCGTCCAGAGATGTCCACAATGTGCAGAAGGTGTACAGACGCGGTGTACAGAAGATTGTACAATTAGCTATTCGGTACAGAAGGTCAAAAAAGGGGAGGTCAAGCTCTCGACACTCGAGTCTCGAGAGATGCCAGATGTCCGCAGCCCGCAGACCTCCTGCCGCTCGAGCGTCGGGCTGGTTGCGTCGAGCATGCGGAGGGCGTGCAAGCACTGCACGGCGGTAGACTCTTTGAGGCCCTGACAAAAAAGAATTTTACGAGGAAAGGCGGCGGCTCGAGAACCTCGTGTATACCCCCCCTTCGTATGAGCCGTGCAGAGATTCGCTTCCCTCTTTTGATCGAAGAAACCCGAACGCGCGAGGCTGCCCGCATCTTTGATTTTCTGTGTGAGTGTTGAGTGATGCGAGCGCGCGCGCGCGTGCCGTTTTGGGTCTCTTTTATACCAGTGATGAAATATAAACCGACTTTACCACGCGCGCGCGCCGCCCTCCTCGACTCTCTCGCACCGGCCCCGACCCACGCCGCCCCTCACGAGATAGATAGGCGGCTGCGACCCTGAGAGTGCGCAGCGGTGCCGCTGGCGTACTCACCACACCCGCCCACCAAAGCCCGCCCCCAGAGCGCGTCCCCAACCCGAATTTTATGCCCCCCCCCCCCCCCCTCCCCCGCGCGCCTCCCGCCCCCGCCCTCCTACCCCCCCCCCTCCCCCCTCTTGCTCACCCGCTCTGCCCACGCACCCCCGCTCCGCCTCCCACTCACCCGCTCCGTGTCTTTCATAGCTTGTGCGTACAATTAGACTCTTTTCTCCCAGTAAGCTCCAGATCGGACACACGTCCTCATACAAGCTCACGAACGGACAACGCGTCCATCGCACGGACGGGCATCTCGTACAGGCAACACTTCACAAGCTAAGGGGGCGACCTATCTGGCGACCTCGGGGGCTCGCGGGCCGCCGCCCCGCGAATTTCTTTCTCCTGGTTTTTTTTAGCATTGAGGTCATACACACGGGATTTCCTCGAGTATGATTGGTTGGCGCGTCCGCGGCGTGTCTGAGGCGGCGACCGCAAAATGCAGCTCGTCAAATACATGCGTATGTCCCAGCGTCTCTGTTGCAGGTCCCAAGACGGATCAATCGGCCACCTTCATAAACCTCACTCTCTTCTCGAGGTACGCGTCCGGACAGGGGTGCTTCGCCCAGATGTCCCTCCATTCTGGCGTCGCCAGCTTCCCTCGAAACTCCGTGTCCCGCGCCTCCTTGCTCGGCCACCGAATCATCAGGCACGCGCTCGGGGGCGGCTGGCCGTCAGGCGGTGGGCTGGCTGATCCGGGCACCTCCGGTTCGATGCCACACTCCACGTAGAAGCCGACCACGTCAAAGTTGCTCCGCAGCCACGGAACGACCAGCTCCCTGGTCCACCTCTCGTATCGTGGCAGCACCTCCGGCCGCAGGGTGTATTCGCGAATCTCGACAATGCTCATTTGAGGCCTCGCTGCTCCACACCTCGTCGATGGGAACGGCGACGGCTGGATGGTTGGGAGACGCGCGGGCGCCCATTCTTCCGGACTCCGTCCGAGCGATACTGTAGGACCGTCCGAGAGCGAGGACTGTCCGAGCACGGGCGCGCCGAGAAAGGAGGCGTGTGCGGCGCCCGCGAGCAGGAGCGTCGCTCTGATCGACCGCGCAAAGGCCACGTCCAGCAAAGGCCACTTCCATACATGCATGTTCTGCCGTTTTTTCGGTTTGGATGCGGTGGATGGATAACTCGGCACAGCTCGCCTCGAGTAGTTGTTTTGTTTGATTGGCGGAAGCCGCAGAAAAGGGAACGAAAAAACATGCAGCCTCGTTTATGATTAAAACGAACTCGGATGAGGGTATCAAGCAAGCGAACCAGTTTAGACCATGTTTAGACCCAGTTTAGACCACGGCTGAACACGAACCAGATTAGTCCTGTTTACGATAAACTGGGTCTAAACAGGGCTCGGCCTGGGTGGGGGACCCCATTAGCCATACCAGGTTTAGACCCGGTTTAGGGCGCCCCTAGCTAGCTCCGCCGCCGCGGCCGCGCTGTGGCTGCGGAAGCGGCAGCGTGCAGCCGCCATCCTCTGCCTCGGGCCGGACAGCACACCTGTCACACTTGCACCGGCGCGCAACAACAGCCTCGCCGATCAGGCGCACGGTCGGTGTTAGGGCGCGACGTCGGGCGCGGCGACAGACCAGCTGGCGGCGCCTGCGCCTGGCAAGAAGCGGAAGCGCGTTGATTTCAACGGCCGCAAAGGTGCTAGTAGAAGTGGTGTTGGGTTGAGCAGTGGTACTCACTGCCCCTCACCAGATGCTTGCAGGCGATGTTCCTGGCCTCGCTCCCGACGTACCGCGCGAAAGATGAGGGGACGCGCTGCGGCTTCTGCAAGCAGATCTTCGACACGGCGAAGCTGTCGGAAGAGTCCTCGACGCGGCCGCGTGGACCCTCAAGATTGCCATGCACAACCTCGACCAGCGCGAGAAGAAGCAAGGCCGCTGACGCTTGCGCGTGCCGCTGAGAGCCGCGTCTCTCTCAGAGCAGGGGAGCTAGGCGGGGGGGAGGGAGGTGCGCGCTACGCGGGGGCGAGGGGGGGAGGAACCCCATTAGCCATACCAGGTTTAGACCCAGTTTATCGTAAACAGGACTAATCTGGTTCGTGTTTAGCAGTGGTCTAAACTGGTCTAATAAACTGGTTCGCTTGGAACCCTCCTACTCGGGGGCACGGGACGCGGCACAAACGGGGCACAAACGCCAGGCTACAAAACGCCTCGTTTCTTTCTGTTTGTTCGACTTCGAGAGCTTCGGAGGCTTTGGAAAGGAGGTCCGCAGCACCCTGAGGGAGGCGGCGAACCACAGCTGAGCAACAAACTTTCACATACATGCTCAGCACCTGGACGAGGTCACATGGACAACCAAGAATTGGCACGGCCTGCAAATGCAGCGTTTGTCAGTCGTCCTCCACACCGCTGTGGCGTGGCAGACAGACGGTGAACGAGCTGGCGTGCGGGGAGGGAGAGCGGCATTGTGCATGGTGCGGAGTGCATTGCCGTTCTTAACGGAGTCGCTTAGGCGGCTCCGGTGGTGAGCCGGTGTGTGTGCCGGTCCACGCCAGTCCGCGCCCTTCACACAGGCTTGAGTTTCAAGAATTCACACGAGCTCTCGCTAAACCTCGGGCACTTACGAACTTCTTAGGACTGGAGCAAGGGAGTCTCGCAAGCCCCAGCAAACACGCGCCCCATTGTGTGATGGAGCTCGGCGCCGCTGCCTCGACCAGCAGGCCGCTATTCAGATAACTACACGCTGCTAGATTGCTCCAACGACCCGCTCCACTTGCCTCGGCCCAAACCCTCGGCAGACGGAATCGGGACGTGTCCGCGCCGCCAGTTTTCGTTTCTGAAACTGGGCCGCCTCTGAGCTGCACCATCGGCCTTGGGCAGGTACGGCCGGCTCCTCTCTCGCGGCGCACCGGCCGGCAGCCTGCTCAACGGCGAGTGGCTCCGGGTGAGCGCCGCCAACCCACTCCACGCCGGGGTGTGTCGCTTCCCGCCAAACTGAGGCAGCTCCTTGCTCGGCGTCTCGCAGGTGGACGCGGACCTGGTCGCGCACCCGCGGTACGTGCGACGCGACGTGCCCGAGCTCCACCTCTTCTACACCGGCTCCGCCTGGCGGATCGTCCGCGGCAGCGACGACCCGAGCGGCGAGCTCCTCGCGGAGGCCGTCTCTGCGGCTCTCCACCCGGCGACTGTGGGAGTGTCGGGGTGGAGCTTGCTCGAGGCGGAGACGGGGGCGGTGCGGCACTGCCCGGAGTACGAGATGGTCTGCGACGGCCCAAACACGGAGCTCCAGCCCTTCCTCATGGAGGAGCTCGCACATAGATGCAGAAGACCGCACCTCCCTGGCGCACCGTCTTGGCGTGATGGGGGGGGGGGGGGGGGCGAGACCACCCAGCCCACCCCACCCTTCCCCACCGACGTCCCTGCATGCTCCCCGCGTCTCCCCACACCTCCCCACATCTCCCCACATCTCCCCATATCTCCCCATATCTCGCAGGAGCTCGGGCGCGACTTTTTCCTGCGCGTGCAGCTGACGCGCAAGGCGAGGCCTTGAGCATCCCACCTCCCTCCCTCCCTCCCTTCCCGCCCTCCCTCCCTCCGTCATCCTCGGTGCCCCACCACCTGCCCGGCCCTCCTCCTCCTCCCTTGCCTCCGCTTGCCCCCTCCCCCGCCCCCTCCCTTGCCTCCTCCCCACCTCCTCCTCCCCCGCCTCCGCCGCCTCCCTGGTACCTCGCCTCCTCCCTTGCCCCCCCCCCCCCCCCGCCCGCCCGCCCGTCACTTGACATGTCCACGACACGTCCACGACACGCCCACGACACACGTCCACGACACGTCCACGACACGCCCACGACACGCCCACGACACGCCCACGACACGTCAGC